CTCCTCCTCCCCATCAGGGACGTCACTGCCTTATGGTGTCATTTTCGCGGCGTTTATGGCTTCGACGCTGGCGTCTTCATTGATCTTTGGCAAGATCACAGAGAGACTGCCGTTTGACTCGCTGTTGCTCTCCCTTTTAGGGGTGTCATCGCTTTGCTTTTTCTTAGCGGCGTCGAACACGTCCTCTTCGCAGTTCACCTTCTGGGTGTTTTGTCTGTTTGAGGCTTGTGTGGGGATGTATTTCCCTACTATGGGGTTTTTAAAGGGGAAGTTGATCGATGATGGGGTCAGGAGCCAGGTGTACGGGTTTCTGAGGATACCGCTCAACGTTTTTGTGGTGGTGGCTTTGCTGGTTACGGGGAGGATGGAGAGCGACAAGGCGTTTGTGGGGGTGTTTAGGGTGTGCTCTGGCTTGCTTTTGCTGGCGGCGGGAGGGTTTTGGGGGTTGGTGGTGAGAAAAAGCGGAGTTGATGTGCAGGTAGAGTGACTGATAAGGGGGGTTGAACAAGCCGTTAACATGAAGACTTTCTCAACTCAAGTCTCCAGGGACGAGTATGTCTCACTCCTCGATATCTGCCTCCAGCTTGATGGCCTCTGACGATCTCAACGACTGAGCTTCCTCCGGGGTGATAGTTAAAAACTTGACAAAATCTCCCCGTCCCGCCCATCCCCAGAGGTATCAAGAACACTGCAAAGGGAATCAAGCGTCCAGCCCCCATTGAGCAGTTTCGTCCACGTCTCCAAGGCAGGCCAAAGTTGCTTCAGGGCTGTCAAAACGGCTTCGTACCATCGAGAAAAATCTTGAAAAAGCGCAAGCAGTCACTCGGCGCTATGGAAAGCATTTGGCAAATTACGGTATGCCGGTACAGAGCCGAAAGACTGTCCGAGGTAAGCAAGGCGGTTTCATCTCCCAGGCCTGCTGCCTTCCTAAGTGCTGAAAAGTGCTGCTGCGGCCATTTCAAACCCTGGCAAACGCGCATTTCTACCTCGTCGATGGTAAGGTGTTTGCCCTCACGCTCCAGAGGGCTTATGCTCGCCGTTCTTTGGCTGTGGAAAGCCGTGGAGAGTCGCTCAGGTGCGGCCGGAGGGAGGAGTTTGGTGTGCAGAAATGACCTTTCACCGAAGAAGTCCATGGGGTCCCCAGAGAGGTGGCAGCGCAGCGCGGGCAATATCATACTGAATGCCTAGCTTGGCAATAGCAGACAGGCTCTTGATCACAAAGGGGGTGGTTGCGGAGAGTTCAGGGGTTCGTAGTGGCGCTGAAGACTTCCCGGTGGCGGTTTGTTGAAGCTCAAGATTTCTCAAGCAATATACCGCAGCATCCAATTCCTTGATCGAACGCCCGAGCTTGGATTTGAGACGGATGGAAGCCTGCAATCTCCAGCACCAAATCATCGGTCAGTGGGTTTGGTCCGCTAGCCAGCAGACGCAAGTCTTCGATAGAGCCGGTAAGCTTCGCAGAACCATCTTTGCTGACAACGGCAAGGTCCTGGGAGAAAATCTGTGTTTTGACGAGGTCTCCATCGCGAAAAGTCTCGACAAGCTTGGGAGATAAAAGTCCGAAGCTGCGGAAGATCTGCAGAGCTTCGTGGTGGGACTTGTTGAAAGGGAACACTGAGAAGGGTATAGCTGCTGAGATATCACCTTGTCATACACAAACTCGTCGGTGTTGCCCGTGTCACGGTAGGTTGGAACTGCCTGTGCATCACCATGGCACACAATGTCTGTAGGGATTGAGGGCTGCCAGCTAGCGACCTGGAATTTGGTCGGAGAGTCCTTGTCGGCTTGGTAGCGGATATGTGATTCTAGAACCTTGTTGACGAGACTGATGTGAGGTATCTTTGTTCGAGAATCGGCACATGTAAGTTCGAGAGATATCACATCTCGTCTTCTGTTGCATAGTATGTCGAACATAGTGGGCTCCTGCTTCAGATTGCCCATCCTGTTTGCAAAGTAGGTTGACAGGCTATTTTGGTGGTGGCAAATCTCACACGCACTGCCCTCCATGAGGAAGAGATCTGTGAGATTCTGCCGAGCATGGAGGCCCCCTTCCATTGTCATTCTGGGTTCGAATATGTCGTTCCCAACACCCAACCCAAAGGCTGGACGGCGCGGAAACTGGGGGCGAGCCTCCATTGTGTCCATCCACAAGTGCTGGTTCTGGCTGCTTATTTGCTGTGCTGAATCATGTATTTTCCCGATCCAGCAATCATCGTCTCTGGAGGAACTGTTTCCTTGCCATTTTGACGGCTCAAGCAGAGCAGCTTTGAACACTTTGAGCGGTGTCATTGCTATGCTGGGCATTGTATAGAATTTTTTGTCGCACAGCAGGAGTATGTCTTCCGGCTCTTGAATAAGGAAAGAAAGGTCCCGGAGTTGATGAACAAGCTGTACAGCGCAGGTAAAGTCGAGTCTGAGGTTCACCGAAGCCGGTGCTGTCTGTTTGTGTTCGGCAGCCACAGCTCTAGAGAACAGGTCGGGATCCCCAAAGTGAATAGCCCAGCCTGGCGGGATGCAAAGCTCGCCGAGAAGCCAAGCGGCAAACTTAGCACAGGCAACGGTCACGCCAGATGGTGTAAGTTCTTCGTCGGCGTTCCATCTCATCAGCGCTTGGAGAGAAAAGAAGGGTTCTGCTTCGAAATTCTTCTGAGAGAGCCTTGCCCTCCCGAAGAATCGAGTCTACCAGTCTGACGGCAGTATCGAGTGTGCCGTCTTTGTCAACCTGGCCGAGATGACGATCATAAACGGCATGAAGGTTGTTGGTTGCCATGAAGCCGGTTGGCGTGTGTCTCCAACAGACTTGGGAGGTTACAAAGATGGTAGAAAGAGGGTATGAAACGGAAATGTTTGTTGATGCTTGTTCAAAGAGCTTGGGTTTGAAGGAGTGTGGATATCAGGCAGGCAACAGTACACTCACCCCACACATACATAGCACCCATCTCAGCTGAAAACATGTTGGTGAGGTCGGAGCATGCCACATCGAGCATTGGGAAATCGATAGTGCTCATGAGAATGTCAGGATGGGACTAGCACCTTCCTCCCGCCTAGGTACACTGCCCAAAGTGCAAGAAGGTGAGGTGTACCAAAACACTGTATGGACATAAATAACCGCGCTGTATATTTTCTGGCTGGTGGTTGCTTGGCAATCAACCTCGTCAAGTTAAGAGCAATGAAAAGAGGACAGCGACAATGCCCGAGCATCAAGAAGTCGATTTTAACGAATGTGTGGGGTAGTCTGGGCTGCAGTTCCCGAGACCACACCTTGACCTAAGTGAAAAAAGGTACATGAGGTACCTAGGTGGTTATTGCACCAATCTCCCCCCATCGGCGACTCGACAACCAGGTTCCCGATGACCCCCAAAGCCGTACAAAACTAAGCACCACAGGTACTTGATCGAAGCACCCCTTCCTCTCATTCCACTTCCGTCACCAACTAGCATGTGACTTTGAAACTCCAAAACTCCCATCCGGCCCAGCAAAGCAGGCCAGTGGTGGTGGTGGAAACGACAGTGCCAGGATTGCAGTTGGTCGACGAATAGAAGGTAACAGTGGCCGAGGAACCACTCCACAAAGCACGTCTGAAAAGTTGGGCGGCGCCAGAACCGTGGGTGTAGCACTGGCCGCTGTTAGGGTTGGTGATGACTTGACCGGCAGTTCCTGTGCATGTTGTAGAGGATGAGGTCCAGGTACTGAGGGAGCCGGAACAGGTGGCCCGCTTACTGTACGTGCCGGATATCTGGTCAGTTACGTGTATTCTTCGGGGGGGGAACCTGGGAGGAGGGAGGGCGGAATCCTACGCAAGCAACTCGTCAACCACGGTGGTGTTGCTGATGGTAGGGTACTCGGGTTCAGGGGTTGGGGAGGCGATGCTGGGCCCGCTCAAGACCAAGAGGACCGGGGCGATAACGCTGAGAAACTTCATGATGGCAGAGCTTTGGGTGTCTGTGTTGTCGTTGTTGTATCTGGTGTGTGCTGATGATGGAAATGAGACATGTTGGGGAGGACCATTTCTTCTATTTATGCTTCTCCTGGCACAGCAAAATGCTCAAAGACAACCCCGAAGTAGCTATTTGGCTCAACTAGGTATTAGAACCAATTCTGCACTTCCCTTTTGACTGCAAGACGCTGAATCATTGAGATGTTTGTTTAGTCAACATATAAACACGCACACGATGCCGACATAGGTACCTAGATGGTTCATGAACCTCGCTGTCCTTGAAGGCAAGTAGGCTTGCAAGAGCAATGTCTTCCCTAAGTTGCTATCCATTGATCAGTATTCATGCTCTAGCTTGGATTAGTGACGCTGCAGTGCCATGTCCTTAGTATCGCCCAACTTATGCGACCACCGTATATTAGAGCGATGCATGTCATCAACACATGCAATATAAACACCAAAGCGAAACGCTTGAAGTCATAACCAGGCTGAGGATGGTACTCCGATGAGTACTAGTGCAAGGTATACTTACTCAGCGTATGACTTCCGAGACAAGGGGTCCACACACAAGACACAGATCATTTTCATCCACCACATCTCCTGAAGAGACAAAAAGGAGATCCTTCTGGTGGTGTCAATATCCAGACACAAATATATATATATATGTAAAGAAGATGCAAAAGTGATAGATGATACCAGCTGGAATCAGCTTACACCCGACGTGGGACTCGAACCCACAGCCTTAAGATTAGAAGTCTTACGCGCTACCATTGCGCTAGCCGGGCTGAACAATTGCTCCTTGTTGGAGGTTAGTACGCTGGAGATAGCGTACTTAGTGGAATCAGATAGGTGATGATCGGCTAGATCTGAGAAGCTTGGGCCACTTTACCGACGTCAGACCAGATCTCGGTGGGGGCTGGAGGCTTGGAGCTCTCAAGAGCTCTCCCTTGCATCATCAAATTGATTCAAGCAACTTCACTCAAATTTGCTCACCGAAACTACAAAATGCCTCTGCCAGACGACTCCGTGGCCGACATTGGCTCTTCAGACGATAACAACCAATTCGACATGGGCGATGGTACCCCAACCAAGCCGTTGCTCGACAAGAATGGCATGCCAAGGATAGTCATGACACCCGAGGAAAGGCATCGCATCCTCCGACAGCTCAGCTTCCCCGTCGAGAACCTCACGGCCCCGTTCTGGGTGAAGAGCGGCGGCGACAACTCTCTTTTGGCCAAGCAGATCTCCGTCTCACTCAACATTGCTCACATCATGGCAAAACGCCCTCTGAGAACCGATGAGGCCAACGCTGTTGCCAACTTCAGAACCACATATGTCAACACCATGGAGCTCGAGACACCTGTATGGATTGCCACCACCATTGCCCTTGAACGCCGGGGCCGTGACAAGCTCCGTTTCCCTCATTACACCCCAAGCCCGGAAAAGTACAACATCAATGCCTTCCCATCTCTGGCCAATCCCAAGTGGACAGGTGAGGCTGCCGTTCGAGCTTGGCGCTTGGCCCGTCTGGCTGCGTATGGTTTTGTGGTCAACATCTGGACCACTGTTTTATTTGCAAGCTTCGCCAATACCTCCTACAGCGTCAAGCTGTTGAGGATGTTCAAGGAGTCAGACGAGCAGCAAAAGCACCGCCCGGAGATGGGTGATCTTTACGGGCAGGACCGTGCGCCACAGCAAGACTATCAACGAGGGCAACAGCAAGAAGAGACACCACAGCAACCAGCCCAGTATCAACGACCAAAGTGGGCACAACAGGCGGCCCAGGCAGCGTCGAAGCCTGAGCCCCCAAAGAGCTGGGAGGACGACGATGACTTCCTCTTTGACGACGCCTCACCTGTTGCACCTGTTCAAAGAGATGGCGCTCGTTCATCAACGGGTGGAAAGACTGGCCATTCCCCTCCGAAGCTGACCAACTCGTGGGACAAGATCAGAGAGGCGGCAAAGTCGGGTGAGAATCCTGCCTCGTGGGGCAAGGACAATCAAGCAGCGCCGGTGCGCAAGTCAGAGTCGTATACTTATACGGAGAATGAGAAGGACTATGCGAAGAATCAGGCGCAGAAGGAGTTTGATGCCATGTTGGAGCGTGAGAGGAGCGGTAAGGCAGATGCTGGGAATCGGAGGTACTGAGGGGCGCTGAGGGCGGTCGAGTAAGGGAGGCTGTACGATATCATGGTCAACAGTTATTTGGGCAGTTGCTTTTCTTGATGTCGGCTGGCATCCACATAGCACTCTGAACAAAACGTAGAAGCATTTCTTGGAGAAATCTCAAAGCGATCAAAACGAAGTTTCTGCTCAACCCTTATAACTGTCAAAAAAGCCATTTGATGTGATAGGTCAGACTGGTATGAAACAACGCATGGCACTTCACCTCTACACTTTGAGCACTGATTATATCTGCTGATGTTTGCCGAGAGATTGAAGAGTAAGGGAGATGCGCCAGGTGCTCACCTAGACAAAGGCGACGGCTGCAAGTCCCCCTTCCAGGAGCATTGGGCTCAAGCTTGAAGAACAAAGAATGCTGCGAATAATGTTGTTATTGAGCATAACAATGCGGTTGTGTTTGACTAGTTGTGGTTGAGAAACTCTAGGGGATGCTTTTGAATCAGCGGTAGACTGTATCCTCGCTGTATCTACATAAGGTGAAAACAAGAAGTAGACTCGATGTATAGCACAGGCTGGTTGTGGAAGAGATGTATTGTCAGGTTAATCTGATTTAGATGAGTTCAAACCACTACTACAATCAGTGAAGACCGGCATAGATAAGGTGCTGAGTCTACACTTGAGGTATTGTGATCCAACAGAGCCAGTGTATATCAACATGAACCAGTTGTGGTCAACACACACTCGCCTTGTTCCGCTCATGAGAACCTCATCATCATGGTATGTTTAATCAGGCTTCATCCTCAACAGCCTCAAGAAGACCTTTCCTTTCCTCATCGGACTACCATCATCCACACTCACACATCACCAAAACAACACTCACTACCACCACCACCACCACCACCACCATTCACCAAAATGGCTTCCACAACCCCCAACAACACCCGTGAGATTCTCACCCTATTCTCCCAGCTCGTGGCTCACACCCACGACCCCAAGGTCACCATCAACCCCCCGATCGTCAACTGCCACCTCTGCCTCGAAGACCCCAAGATCCTCACCCCCCTCACACCCGCTCACCTCCGAGCCACCACCCTCCCGGGCGTGGTTCTCCTCTGCGGCCACATGGTCTGCAAGCCCTGCTTCAAGGGCTGGCACGACTCCATCCGCAACCGCCAAACAAACGCTACCCCCGCCAACTTCACCCCCTCCCCTGGGGCCGCCCTCCCACAGATCCCCGCACCCCCCGTGGTGCCCTGCCCCATCTGCCGTCGTTCCCTCTCCTTCCTCAACTCCTCCCACTGCAGGCACCTCCTCTCCCCAGTACCCCTCCTCCCAATCTCCGCCGTGCCGCGCACGCTGCCGGACGGGGGGCGGGCCCCGAAAATCTGCTCCGACTGCAGGTTGCTCCGGGGGAGGAAGCTAAGGGAGCTGGTCCGCACTTTCAAGGAGTTGAACGTTCAGGCCGACGAAATCGAGACGGAGGTCAGGTCTTGGAGGTTGGGGGGTGGACTCCGGTTTACCGAGGAGGAGATCAGGCTTTGTTTTCCACACGTGGTCAACAGCCGGGATCCGGCGGGTCATGCGATGGGGGTTATTAGGAGGAGGATGGTACAAGAGGAGCTAGCAAGAAAGACTTGGGCTAGGAGCAGTTGGCGGGCGATGGGGAGGGATTTTGGGGAGGCGAGGGGGGACTATATGAAGTAAGGAGGTAATCGTGCAAATAATGTATGTACATCTTTCGCTTGTCATTGTGATGGCGGAGGAAACAACATGCATGATGATGACTCTCTCATCATAGTCTCATTGGGATAGGGAGGAGGAAGTAGGTTGGATTGGAAAGAATGGTAATGTTCGGTAGATGATATTTGGAAATGGTTTTACGATCACCAAAAAAAAGAAAAAAAAAGAAAAAAAGAAAAAAAGAAAAAAAGAAAAAAAGAAAAGGAAAAAAAACACAAAAATAAAAACATTCACAATCTCAAAGATGTTTTTTTGTACTCCTTTGGGAGGTTTTGTTTTGGTTTCGGGGTCCGTGTTATTCAGTAAACAATAGGACAACGGGACAGCAGAGCAATGACTTTGTGTGAGACTGAAGCTGATTGGATCGCTCACTTACCCCCTGAGCTCTCGACAGGACTAACCCAGTCTCTTCCTACTACCTCTCGCTACTCACCACCACCTTCCTTAGTTACCTCAAAGCTTCAAAGTATGAGCGACCACCAGGGTAGCACTGAGTACCTTGGTATATATATCCATCGGGTAGGTGCCAAACAAAACCATGTCTCCAGTGAGATCCATCCCCTACCCCCATTCCATGTGCCTACTACCTACCTATCCAAATCCATCCTCTTGTTTCCCTCCTCTTCATCAACCCAACCCTCATCCTCCAGGTCTCAGAACTAACACAGCATCTCTGGCAAAAGCAAGGTGCGCATGCCAGGACTGACCCAAGTACTCAGAATCAACCGTTGTCTCACATAATACCTAAAACCACCATCAACAATTACATACGACCATAACCAGTTGAAAACTCGGGATCCCGTCCGCTTTCCCCTAGATAAGCAGTTGAGTGCCACTAGTACTCAGGTGAGTGCTAGACCAGTACTCAGGTAGGTAACCACCAGGGAATCCCTGGTGGTATATATTTTTCCCCTAAAGGTTTTGCTCCACTATACTCCCCTCTGCTTAGGTGTTACGACCTTGTGTCACGGACCTGACATAAGTGGGGAGCGCGGGGCGCGACCCGTCCAACCACTAGGAACGGAAAAGTGGGGAAGTCAGATTATCACTAGCGCCAAGGGTGATAATCACGATTATCACCAGCCTTCGGTGAACGACGAGTGATAATGGTGATAAATAGGTCTATATATACGGAGGAACTGGCTGGTGTCGATAGACAGTTCCGCAGTATGCAATTCACAGTTGTATTCACGGCATCTTGTGTTTACATCGAGACATCTTGTTGTGCACTGTTTAGCTGCACCGAACCAATTGTCAGAAGTTACCTTCAACCCGTATCCCTTTCAGAGGTTCTGTACAGGGGTTCGTCACATTGGGTAATTCTCGGTGTGGTATGTTTTTGGTGGGATTCTTTAACTTTGGGTTCCACAGCTGATTCCCGTCCATGTTGACTGACGTCTTGGCACTGCCCCCTTTTTGCCCCTATTCTCACCACTCATGCTGTGACTAAGAAACGGGAACTCAAAAGATGACCAACAGGCCCTCAAAAGAGTGCAGAGATATTCGGAAGAGCTAACTAATTACGAAAGCCATTCTTAGGAACCTCAACCCGCAGTCTCCGTTTCCTTAGTTTGACAGCTACCGTTGGGCGTTCGACAAGATGCCGTCATTACCACAGTTCCGTGGTTCATTCCTCTATGCATGAGACATTTTCTCTAGTGTACCTTGCAGTAAGATGGTGATCCGAGACATAGGTTGGCTATCATCTGAATGGTGAAGCTCGGGTGAAGCTGACTGGCTGGCTGGCTCGATACCTACCTGGTCGTTTCTTCTTTAATGTTGTTGAATTGTTGTTGCGGGAGTGATGGTGATACAATGGAAGCAGTTTTGTATTGTATACCAATTTCCCTGACGTGCCTGTTCCTGCATATTTCCATACCTCCTGACCAGCATAGTTCAGGAATGCTGGACAGAAAGTCGAGCCGCAGCTCACCTGCTGAACAGTCGGCAAGATCTGCAGGGATGAAAAGTTGGAAGAGTGGAAAGTGAGGTTGGTCACCGAATTCCACGGCATATTATACGGTCCGTTGGTCCACCCCTGAACCGATTCTCCATCGTGAGCTGGATGGCCCGGTAACCACGAGGGATATGGGATTCTGGATAGTGACTGGTCGCTAGCTTGAGTGAGGTTGGTTGTATCGTGTACTCTGCGGTCGTGATGGCAACCATTCCGTACCCGTGATAGAATAGGCAGAGAATAAAACCCATACCTTCTTTCCTTCCCCCTCGTTGATGCAATTTTCCTCTCCTGTGTTGTCATCGGTCATCCTTTTCTCTTCCAGACCGAGCCCCGGGCTCTCACTCTTCACAATGAAGTCCCTCACCCTCCTTTCCCTCCTCTCCTCCCTCACCGGCGCCCACGCCGCCGTAGCCTCGGAAGCCAACACGGCAGAGGTCGCCGCCGACGCCATCGCCCTCAACACCTTCAAAGACGCCATCTGGTCGGCCGAATCCCTCCCCACCCCCCTCCGAGGACCAGGCTACAGACCCCTCATCCCTCCCTCGTACGAACGCTGCGCCGTCGACCCAAACGGGCCTCGCGACTTCACCTACCTCACCCCCAACGGCCTCGCCGTCACCCGCGACCGGCGCACCAGCCGCGCCATCGAGGAGACCGATCCCGACGACCAATTCCAAGGTCTCGTCTTCGAAACCCCTAACAACGTCTTCTCCCCCAGAGGCGTCTTTGACGTTCGCCTCCCCGGCCGGGGCGACAGACCATCCCGCTACCTCGCCATCTTCAAAAACGGGGAAGTAGGCTGGGTCCTCCGCAGCACAAACGGGCAGACCGCCCTCCGCGATGAACGGGGCCAGCCCTACGTCACCACAGTCTTCTCCGTCCAGTGCGACGGTCTTTCCACTGCGGGTGTGATCAACGGGCTAGAGTTTGAGGTTTGCCGTCAAGGACGGCAAGCTTTACGCTCGGGGTATCCCCCCTACCAAGAAGCAGTCCCACGTGTTTTCCAAGAGGCAGGAGAACGGTGGCGTCCAGGTTTCCGAGAGCAGCGGGGGTCGGCCGAGCATCACGGTGGGATTGTACGTCCTCCCACGACTCCGAGACGTCATCGCCAACCCCCCCGTTACCAAGACTTGCCCCAAAGGCGCAGACTACACCACCCGCGACCCCGCCCCCCCGGTGACGTCCAACGGATGCGGCCCGACAGATTGGTGGAGGTGGTATTTCGCGCCAAAGCTGCACGAGACGTTTGAAGATGCCTGCAACTGGGTGGATGTCTGCTGGAGTGAGTCTTTTTCACCCCTTTTCTCTTTCCCCCCTCCTTTGTGTTCGAGATATTAATCCACCCACCCGACAGCCGACTGCACCCAAACCTTCACCACCTGCAACTCGGGCTTCGCCGCCCGCCTCCTTGACCGCTGCAACGAGCGCTTCCGCACCGAGTCCTCCCTCTCCTCCTGCCGCAACCTAGCCTCCGCCTACGTGGCCTACTACAGCATGGCCAACGCCGCCCTCACCTACGAGGGCGTCAAGGACAAGTACTGCGGCTGCCAGTGCGCCGATCCCGAGCAGCACCTCTGCGGTGACGTCTGCGTCTACAAGAACGACCCCAACAACTGCGGTCGCTGCAATAAAGTAGTACGTCTTACCCCCTTCCCCTTCCCAATCCCCTTACCAACCCTATATAGTGCCCCTCCGGCTGCATAAACGGCGTCTGCGCCTCCACCTGCCAAAACCCCTGGTCCTGCAACACCCCAGGCGACCTCTGCTCCGCCGGCGGCGCAACCCCCAACCCGGAAACCATCGACGACTACACCGACCTCTGCCTCTGCGCCGAGGCCGCCGAGTCGGCAGGCAACGTCTGCGCCTGGGCCGGCGACGTCTGCGGCGCAAAGGGCTGCGCCGTCAACTCCGACTGCGAGTACGGCTCCGCCTGCATCCTGCTGTCCTGCTGCCGCGGCACGCCCGGTGTCTGCATCAGCGTGAGGGACGACTACTGCAACAACCCTGCGCTGCCCAGGAACGGGCTGTTGAGGAGTCCGCCTGAGGGGAACAGGCTTTTTGAGGGTGCGTTCGCGAAAAAGGTTGTGGGTTGAGAGAAAAGAAGGGGAAGAAGCTATGGATGGGTAGGTAGGTAGGTAGTAAGTTAGTTAGTCTAGCACGTCAGCAAACATCTTTGTTTTCCTTTGGAGCGGGAAAATAAATCAACACTGTAACAATAACACGACTGACTCTCTATTCTATTCCAATCTCTCTTTCATAAAAATCTAAACATCGTTGCCATAACATCATGCCAGTCAGTCTATCCTAATCCTTCCTACCTATCATATCAAGTTATATCAATCTTTACCATCCCCCTCCCTTGCCATGATACCCTTCGAAAAAAACAAAAAAAACAAAGAAAATTCCTACCCGCAACCTTCTATAAAAACATATAGAACTCGGGTATCAAAAAGAGAATCATAACATGTGTTTCATCAAATCATCCAAGAAAAGAAAC